AAGATGTATTAAACACAATAATCATATTCAAGTTTTGAAACATATTGAATTAACTTGAACCAATATTCTGCACATTGGGTATTAGGCAATAGACTCCTGCAAAAAAATCATGTAAAAGAAACTCATAAATTGTGAATAAAATAAACAACTAACCCTAAAACTGGTTGGAAATAGTGTGTTCTGATCTCATCAAATAATCTGACATTTATGAATAGCTTCAAATAATCTTAAACAACATAGGTGAGTGTAAGAATCGGTATATCCATGAAAAACAGAGTAAAATCAATATATGACAATTAAGTAAAACTAAAAAAAACATGGAATAGAGAATTTGATAGAACTATTTACCTGGATGGTGGTGAAGCCCAAGATGGTTAGTGAAGGCTTCAACATTGGGGTTTAATTACAGTGTGAATAATTAAATGGATAAGAATTCAGTAACTAACGTAAAATGATATATTTCTTTCATGAACTGGAGTTATCAGTTTGAAGATATACCTGAATCGATACAGATAGTTGAGAAATGTCAAAAGGACACAAATGCCCTTGGTACCACTTAAACAGGAAAGCTTTACTCTAGATACACATATATGGGGCCGGTAAGGCATACCTGCAAACATCATACCAAAGCAGTTAACAAAAAGTAAAAAATTATCATGTAACCTGTAGTGAAAACCAAAAACAAATATTAAAATCCATGAAGCTACATGGGATTACCGATAAAAAGATGCTTGGAATTCAAAATCGTAAAATGAAATCAATCATTCGTGGTCTTGTTCAACATTTATGTGGATATTCACATCCCTAGACAGAGAAAGAAATTGTGAGTAGTGGTGGTTTGTGAGTGTGTGTGCGCCAAGACATACAGAGAAAGAAAGCCCTAGTTGTCCCAATTGGTCTAGCTGTCCCAAAGGTCCTAAACTTCACCCTCGATATTAAAAAATATCAAGAAAATATTTCCTTGATATGCATATGCCTTAAAAAAGCGATGACATAACCACATATGGGGGCGGCGACAATATTTAGGATGATTAGAGCGGCGACGGTGTGGTGGTGCTATGATGGTGTCAGGGCATAAATCAATTCAAGTATACATAATCAAACACTTACATTACTATAACTAAGGAATATCGGCTGTAAGCAACTTCGATGGATTTGCCTTCGTATCTTGCGAGAGTTCTGCAGTGCTGTGAATTTGCGTTGGTGCGGTGGATTGTGGTGATAGCGGTGGTGTGATGGCAGTGGTTACTGGTTAGTAGTCTGGCGGTGGTGAGTGGTGTTTAAAGTTAGTCAGGTTTACTTTAGGGTTACAAAGAAGGAGTAGAGCGAAGCAGGTAGTTGAAGGTGGCGTTTAGTTCCCCATAAACGGTCGAAGGCGGTGAAAGAGTGTGAGAAAGATACTATATTAAAGAAGTTCAGCATATAGACCCCAAATATAAAGTAAGGAAGGCCAGAACCCAGAGATATATGCCGAGATATCAGGATTCAATATAGAAATAGAGACTCGTTCACGTAGGCTTGGTCAAAAGCCTACAAATAAGGTATGTATGCATTAAGTAATTGTAATTATTGCATTATCGTTTGTAGAATTTGTATTATAATATTACTTATATAGTGATTTGTTGTACTTTAAGCTTAAATATTTGGACGTCTTAAATCTATTTTTAGAAATAGTAAGGTTTGTATAATAATATAGTAATATATATATATATATATATATATATATATATATATATATATATATATATATATAAACAACTAAATTAAGTATACAATTAATTATACATGAACAATTGAACATATGGGTCCACAATGAAAAACACCAATATCAAATGGATACTATATGTTTAGTAGATATTATTAATTAACCAAAATAAAAAAATGTTTATTTATTATTACTACTATTATTTAAGAGATATTTAAATTATAAATTTGACTAAGTTAATTAAAATAAATAATTTGGTTTGAGTGTTTACAGAATTTAAGGGCATCCACAATGCATTGAACTCCATAGAGTTCAATGGATTGCCACATCATTTTTCTACATTCCATACAACTCAATCATTTTTTTCCTACAATGCATTGAACTTTACAAAGTTTAATAGAAAGTTACAAAAGCTAATTTATAGTATGTATTTAAGATTAGAAAACTTTCCTTTTCCCACTTAAGAGTTCAATGACCATTAAACTCCAAATCCATTAAATGTCTAGGTCACATCTCACTATGATAGAGTTTTATCCATTAAATGATAACCAGAATTGTGACCTCATTCAACCATACCATTGAACTCACCAGTGTGAATGCTCTAAGCATAACCCTGAATGCTATCCTCTTTCCTTGCACTATAGTTGAGGACCCCAACCTTGGTCATCGATTTGGATAAGAGCAGGACAAAAAGATGGTGTTGTTGATTGATCCAAGAAACTAGCATTCTATTGATGTCTCGTGTAGATCATTTATCAACTTACTTGCATATAATTGAGGATATTTGTTAGATCACCAACTTCATATGTATTTTATGCATTGTCTTCTTTAAGAGACATTGTTTATGAATTTTTCGACGATAAATGTTGTTTTGTAATGGTTTTTTTATCACATCTTCAACATGTATATATGTAAAATTAATTGAGTACTTAAAGATTCATTCAATAGCTATTATTGTGACTGTTTGGATGTACTATAGGTTCGTAAAAAATAAATCACACTTGTGAAACAATATCAATCTAAAACCAGAAGAACCGTAAATCATTAATTCAAAACAATTAATCAAGAAGGTTAGTAAACTAGAGAACCCTAATATCATTAATTCAAGACAATTAGTCCCCAAGGTTAATACTTGCTTTTAAGTAAATGAAATTTTGATTAATTTAAAATATTTCCAGCCTTTAGCCATTTTAGTAAAATAACTAAAAATGACTTGTCGTTAACATTACCCTATTTAATGATAAACTTAACTTGTACCACAATCCAACTATTTTTGGTCCTACAAAGATATCATCCAACTATTTTGATCCCAAAAAAAGTTATTATATTCCACCAAATGTAATATTTGTATTTGTAACCGACAAGTCAACTGCGTTAAACGTGTGGCAATAATGTATTGCTTACGTGTATGATCTAATCCAAATCCAGTTATCCCCTGGAGAAAATTCCAAAATTGCAACATTTTCCCCCTTTTTGTTTACGTTTACTTAAATCTCAAAAATCAAAATGACCCCATCATTACTTTCCACTCAATTCACCTAACATCATTTTTCAAATTGGTTGAAGTTGAACGACTGATCAACAACTGATTTGTTAGATACACCAACAGATTTCAAAATTTGTGTGCGTGTGTGTCAACGGATTAGATGAGGATTGCATCAGGCGGTGGCGGTGGCGCTGGTGGAGAAGCATGGAAGGCACACGCGGCGATGGCGTTGGTACAATTGTTCAATGGAGGATATCATGTCATCACAAAAGTAGCTCTGAATGGTGGAGTCAATGAGATTGTTTTCTGCGTGTATCGTGACATCCTTGCCATCTCTATCCTTGCTCCCATCGCCTATTTCCGTGAAAAGTTAGTCAACTTATCAATTGTTTATTCCTGCTTAGAAATTGTGGTTCGAATTAATGCCTTCTGTTATTTAAATACTGATGAAGAGTTGCCAGATTTTTCATTGTGTTATGGGACAATATAACAGCTGTTTTTCCTCTAACTATTCTAGGGTTGAAATGAGATTGAATCGAGAATAAGGTAATTGTAGTGTTTTGGAATGGATCTCTAGAAGTATAGTTGATGCCGGAAAGATTCCCCTAGTCAATTCTGCTTGTACTTGCAATATACTTTAAGGATACCTCCAAACCTCTAGTACAGAGTAGTTTATCATGCTAATTAAAAAAAAAATTATATGGATTAGATTTATTCTTGTACTATATTAGTCAGGACTTACTGTAATTACTAATGCATCAGGCAAATCCCACTGGATTTCTCATTCTTACATAGTTACATTTGATTGTTTTTAATGAGATTTAGCATTCACCATAATGTTGAACCAAGAACAAGGACATGGAGAAGAACCAATGTTGCAAATCCGACTCTCTTTTCTTTCATTACAAGATGATATACAATGTTGCTTTTTGCTGGTGATAAAAGTCAAATATGTTAATTGGTGCACATAACCCAATATTTGTATTCACGGATAACCTACTAATCATCATTTTGACCTGTAAATACTACTCGTTATCATCAGGGAAATATGTGAAACTAAAGTTGGTTTGATTTTATGTTGTTTGTAGGAGAATCAGACCAACTATGACTAGGCAGTTGCTCATGTATTTCTTCTTTCTTGGGTTGACAGGGTAAGTTATAACCTGGTTGACCATGATAAAACTTTTAAAAGTTATCTACCCGTTTGACTCAGTTATTTTTGTTGACACTTTATGATTCATTAAGATAACACATTTATAACATTTCTTATAGTCCCTTCTATGGCTATTGTTCCACTTATTAATTTCTTGTGTAGGATTTTTGGGAACCAGCTTTTGTTTCTTCTTGGTCTTGGCTACACAAATCCAACCTATGCTGCAGCCATTCAACCTTCAATTCCTGTCTTCACATTTATACTTGCTGCAATGATGGGGTAATATATAATGGCAACCTTTACTTATAAAAATATTATTTACTAATAATATTTAATAAACATGTTTTATATGTGATGTGATAAATGCAGTACAGAAACAGTAAATGTGCTGAAAAGTGAAGGTCAGGCAAAAATTGGAGGCACCTTAGTTTGTGTTTCTGGTGCCATTTTAATGGCTATCTTCAAAGGACCAGCTTTACTAGGGTTTGCAAACACTGCCCCTGAAATAATTCCAGCTGGACAACCAATGTTTTCTAATCTTGCAACCTTAGGAATTGACAACTGGCACATTGGTGTTCTATGCTTAATAGGAAACTGTATATGCATGGCTACCTTTCTAGCTGTTCAGGTAGTTGAATTATTGTACATTTACTTTATTAAATGGTTTGAACTTGAATTGAAGTATGATTTTTTTTTATTGAAATGAATTCAGGCTCCAGTGTTGGCTATGTATCCTGCAAATCTATCAGTTACAGCATATTCGTACTTTTTTGGTACACTTTTTATGGTGGTGACAGCTGTCTCCTTCAACAATGAGTCAATGAACTGGCATTTGACTGGGTCCGAGGTTTTGGCAGTAATTTATGCTGTAAGTATCTTCTCTGTTCTCCTTGTATTGTATAAAACTCTTATACAGTTATATGTCTCTTACTCGGTCTCGTAAGAAGCTGAGTCTTACTGATAAAATTTACATGATGTTTTTTTTTTTTTTTTAAAATAAAATAAAATAGGGAATCATCGCGTCTGCATTGAACTATGGACTTCTAACATGGTCGAACAAGATAATGGGACCCGCTTTGGTTGCTCTTTATAATCCACTTCAACCTGCTGCTTCTGCTTTTTTGTCAAAAGTATTCCTTGGTGACCCAATCTATTTGGGAAGGTCTGTTTTCTCAGCATCCAACTTAATTTGATTTTTCCAAATGATGGTTTATTTTTTATTTTATGAACAGCATTTTGGGAGGATTGTTGATCATAGTGGGGTTATATGTGGTGACATGGGCGACTTATCGGGAAAAACAAAAGCAACAGGCAGCCTTAGTAGGTCGTTCCTCAGAGCCACTCATAGACCAGATTTTTGGTGGGCCTTCCCCATCACTACTTAAGTCTACAGATTAAGGACCACACACACACACACACCAAATGGCAAATGTTGTTGTTGTTTTCTTCTGTTTTTACCTTTTGCCCTTCAATTGTATTTTTGGTTTTTGTGCAAAATGTGTAAGCAGAATAGTGACAGATAGAAATATATATTCTTCCATTTTGGGCTTTTCCTGATGGGGTCATTCATGAGTGTAATGAGTCTTCCCACAGAATATGTCCCTATCACTCATAGCAGAAAGAAAAAAAAAATGTGATGTTGTGGTGATGATATGGTGTTGTTTTTATGGAAATATTTCAAGTTAATTGGGATATTTGGTGAAAATTCTTCATACTCCTTCCATCTTGGAAAATGTTTGGGATGTTTAACTTGCGGGTGGACTTGGAAAATGGGGCTTTGGTGATAGAGAAAATACATCGACTATTTCACTTTTTTTTTTAATCTTGGAACAACCAGATATCATACAAGACCATTGGTATAACTTTTTATGGAACAAATTTCTTTCTAAGATTGAGTAAAAAGAAACCTATGTATCATTGAATTTTAAAATTGGAAATATGACAAAAACTTTTTGCATCAAAAATGGAAATATGACAAAAACTTTTTGCATCAAAAATGGAAATATGACAAAAACTTTTTGCATCTTGACTTGTTATATTTAAGTTGTGTTTGGTAGATCAACGGGAAAACTAGTTTTTAGGTGAAAATGATCTTTAATTTCTCTATATGTTAAAAAACTTATGGAAATGTATATTTGAAAATTTTGTGAAAAGCCCTAATTAGCTTATCAGTAATACTTTACGGACTCGTTACATTGCAATAAACTTCGAACGTTAACTTTGTCCAATTTTAGCTTAATTGTGAAGCAGCCCATACATTTCCATTAATTATAAATTAAGCTTCTGACTTTAATTTATATGATAATGCCCTGTCAAGCACTTTTACCCTTTATATAAAATAAACTTTCAAAGTTGAACTCCCAAAACCTTTTCAAATCCAAGTTAAATTACTTTATAAAAGCCATTGAGTTTCGTGATGAACATGCATAAACAATTTTAATTGTGAAGTGTGCCTTAAATGTGACCGAATATATTCTCACTTAGAGTATTGATGACCATGGGTATCATTATGCTGCGAGAGACGAAGATTTCAAAGTGTAAAGTGATAATAGTTTGATTCTTTAGGGAAAGGAAAATATGGAGAATATATGTTGCATGAAGAGTCTTAAGTATTTTTTTAGAGGCGACAAAAATTGATACGATACGAACTCAATTAAACAGATTTTGGTAAGATATCTAATCCGTTTAATTAAACTGGTTGACACGACACAACGCAAAAATTTAATGGATACGATTAGGGTTGATAATTTCAACTTGAATATGACTAGAAAATGACTGGTTATTTATATGTAAGTTTTACTTTATGTCTTTAAATAAACTAGAAAGACTCAAGAACAAAACCATAACACAAAAGAAAACATCTGAGTTGAGTTGTTTTGTAATGTAGAAACGACTTAGCCGTTTAGGTCAAGACTTCGTTTTTAGTTTTTTTGTTATGTTTCAAACTACAATGCCCCCCCCCCCCCCCCCCCCCGCGACCACTATTTCCTCCTCATGATCTCGCCCTTCGCCTCCCAACTCATACTTTTTTCCATTTCCCTCTAAACTTATGAATTTAGTCATTCCACCTCTTAACTACTTTTCTTTCCGTCTACCTAACTCATACCCTTTCAACATGTTTAACTGATACTCTTTCAACATGTTTAGTGTTTCAACCTCACATGCCACAACACATTTCAATGTATGACCCTAACCCGAAACCCGAAACGAACTCTCTATGAAAATATATGAGTTGACACGACACGACATGTTAATTAAACGGGTTAGGTTAAGGTCAAACTCTCTCAACCCGTTTATTGTTTTGATATGACACATTTGTCAGGTCTAATATTTTCTATAAATGGGTTAGTTGCGAAAGCAACAAAAAAAAAATGGAAAATGTTAATTGACAATAAGTTGATTTTTCAAGGGAAAATATGGAAAGTATATGTTACATAAAGGGTGAATATGCGTGTCAACAAATGGAATAACGACTTGTAAATTTAGTCATTACGCTTATTTGTATGTTTATATGTCATTAAACTTGTTGAAATTGTTCAAAAATTACTAATATGACCGGTAATACTAGGTTTTGCCTAATTCTAGTGGTGAATATGGGTGTCCACAAATGGAATAATGACCTGTAAATTTTGTCATTACGCTTGTATGTCATATTAAACTTGTTGATTTTGTTCAAAAATTACTAATATGACCAGTAATAGTGGCTTTTGTCCATTTCAGGTATATTGTCCAGCGAAATATGAGTTTTTGGCCATCTTCTCCGACAAGTTCCAAAGGGTTTTTTCGAATTCTGAAAACTAAAATCAGTTCATTAGTAGGAAACAAAAAACAATGGATGATTTGATGAATGTAATAAGAATTTTCTTCATGATCTTTGAATGGATTTTTGAACGAAGTTTGAATGTTATTCATGATTTTTGAACAACATATGAAGAGTATTCATGATATTTAAACAAAAAACAGGAGCATTTTGAAAACAAATCGAAAATCTGAATGTTCATTTTCAAAAATTGGAAATCATAACCCTAAATCTTAATGATGTGTTCATTTCTGAAAATCATAACCATAAATCGAATATTTAAATGTTCTTCAATGTAAATCGAAAATCATAAACATAAATCGAAAACTTTATGGTAATTGAAAAAATGGCAATCACAGGTTATTTCCCACGTGAGTTTTTATTTTACATATGATTTTGGTTTTGGGTATTTATAGTTTATCTAAATAATTACAAAAAACTTAGATATAAATAAATATATCATTTTCAGTCATATTCAAGTTGAAATTTTCAACCATAACCTTATCGGTTTAATTTTTACTTTGTGCCGTGTGAATCATTCAATAAACGAGTTAAAATATCTAACTCAAACACGTTTATTTTGTATCGAGTTTATATCAGGTTATCGTGTAGTGTCGATTTGTGTTACTTCTACCCAATGTTTTAAAAACTGGTTTGAACCAAGAAAGAGAGCGGTTCAACTATCACCGATTTTATGTCTATTTCTGAACCGGAACAAACCAGTTGGTTTTTACAAAAATTTGGTTGAATCGGTTTCATTAAATAAAAACACATGAAAAAAAACTATTTTACATAATAAACTTTGTTGATCTTTTTCACATCAATTTAGATTTTTCTAAATAAAAAATATGGCGAATGTTATGAAGTTTTTTGATGCGTTTGTATTCATCTAAAACTATATTTTGTTTCACTATTATACTTTATTTTCTTTTTATGCACGTGGATTGATGCAAAATTTATAGTTATTTGTTATGTTAATGTATTTGGATTGATCTACAATTTGTTTTTATGTATGTATGTATGTATGTGTAGGAAAAAAAAGATGAAAAATATAGAAACCAGTTGATCCGACAGTCGAACCAGTTAAACTGATAACCGATCACTATCAGTGGCGGATCCAGGATGGAAATTAACCGGGGTCCATCATATAAAAAATACAAATAAAATTACAACACTTTGAAATTTTAGGATACTTATAGTTTTTTTCAGTAAATAAAAAATCAATAAGGGACTTTTCTTTTAAGAGTGGGTGCCATTGAGGGTGTTTCTTAGTAAAAGGAAAATTATTTAAGGGTATATATGGTAATATTATGGCTCTAATCCTCTTCCAAGTGGGGTGCTTGGACCCCACCTCTAACAAGCCGGCTCCGCCACCATAACGATTCACCTAAAAACCAATTTTTAAAACATTGTCTTTACCAAGCCGCATAGTAAGATAAATAACTAAAGGATTCAAAACATGCTAACCGACTCTTATAAAAACTTTATATTTTAACGTATCTAAAAATAACTATATAAAAACATATTTTATTTGAAAAACTTAAAATTTTTAATGTAATTTTGCCTTAACTTTAATATAGAAAAATACAGAAGTATAAGAAAGCATATCCAAAAGAATATACTAAAAATAAATACGATGTTGATAGTTGATTAAATTAAAGAAGTAACATATTCTTATTTATTATATTTATTATTTAATTTAACTATATATGTAGAATCTACCAAATGTTGTATTTTTATTTTTATTATAATATGTTAATTTAATTAATATAAAATTATTAAGCTATATATTGTATTTTTATTGGTCTTTTAGTATTGTTTTATAAAATATTTTGATTATAACAATAAATATTATTTTATATTTAAATAATATTATTATCGTTAACTGATTTTTTAACATGATATTATAACATAAGGTAGAGTTAATTTTACATGTTTTTGTGGTTTGATCAAATTGTTTCATGTGTATCTTTTGTTTTTCATTTTGTACTGTATCCAGTTAATTTTAAACTTACATGTTTCATTCATTTTCATACATGAAATGATTATCATGTCTTTACTAAATACTTTAGTATCTATATTTATTATTATTACTTATTTCTTTTATCAGAGACCCACTATCTTAACCTATCCCACCATTTTCCCCTCAATGTTAAAATATCTAACAACTATTGACTTTCGACGACTACCATCGGTCACTTCCTTCGAAAAACCCACTACCAAACCCGGGGAAGGATAGGGGTAGGATGGTGGGGTCTAATATAAATAACAAATAAATATTTAAAAAATAGGCAAGGGCAGTATAGTCATTTTATATATGAATGAGATTAGACCTAAGAAATGTGTTGTGATGTGCCAGGTTTGTGTCGTGTTGAAATGGTAAAAAGTTGGGACTTGAGAGATCTAGATCCTAACTAGGGATGCAAGCGGATCGGGGATTCCCCGCTACCCGTGGGGACCCGACCCGAACGGGTCGGGGATTCCCC